AGACTACTGGATTGGACTCCAACCGAGATAACAAACGTGTTCGAATCTCCGCATCTTTTGGAGAACGTAATCCATAAAAATGAGCCTTTTAAACTGATCACTTTTGAATGTGCTAAGCTGAAAACGTTCACCTTCTCTGTTAACAATAGCTGCATAACTCATAAATCATCCCCCTGGTGTTTAACTACTTGAAAACATCGGAAACATGGGTTGCAAAGTGAAGTTTTAGGACCGAAAGTCCTGGTCAAGTGTCTCACAGTAGCGTCCAATAAGATATGGCGTGGGTACTTGGGTAGAATGTAATTGGAGTACTTTCATACTCCTTTGGACCCAACTGCCTCACAAGAAAAGGTACTTGAGCTGCATCGCCTAGCTCACGCCCAACAATTTTTAAGAAGTCTTCATAGCGGCGAAACCATGCTTCGAAAAGGAGGTCATCCTCAGCTGGTGGTGAAATTCTGCCATAGTGTGCACCAGCTTGTCTGCAGTGGAAATCGTACAATCCGTAGATGCCGACTGTAACGACATCCGTGTTGTCAATGTTACAATCAAGCGCTGTTGTAACGCCTCAAACTGTGATTGCTGTTTGGACAGCATTTCTTGAAGGAATTTCAAAGTGACAGTCATGGATCCATGTTACCAGTCTATCATAACGCCTGCTTGTAACTGAACCCATTCCGAACGAGAAGCAAAAACACCAGCTCGCGAGACTAGCTGCATTGAAAAACTGACAAAGCTGAGCAACCGGGATGCAAAGGATCAATAGATAAACTGGCCAACCACTTGAGAGGACATAGTCATGAATGCTGAGCGGTCTGGCACTGAACGACTGTCATGCGTGCGTCCAAAATAATCATGTGACGAGACAGTGATGAATGTCAAACTATCTAGCTGTGAGCGACTGTGAAGCGCAAGCACTTCGTACAGGTTTCACAAAAATGTAGACAATGAACACAGGCATTAAAGATGTTATGCATTGTTTAACAATATATTTGGTCATGGTAAGCCATTTGTGATCATATTCACTGTTTGCCTCCGCGAGCACCCAAAAACACGCCAAGAGAAGACAACTGGCCGTCATGTTGCGCGGACAGCATAGTACATCAAAAGTTCATCGCGGCAGGGGTACATGCATAATTATGGTTCACACCCTCACCAATCGCGGGAAATTGCTACAGTGCAAACTCATTAGAGCTGTATGTTCACCCTACATTGGTGTATGAAGCGTATTCTCGCTTTGATTTCACTCGCTTATTCTACGTAAGTGGCACCCATGCTTGCAAAACAACCGGCGCTATCCGTGGAACATGCACCAAGACTGCCGCCTTATTAGCCGCATTACAGTCTCAGTGCGCATGTTGGTACATAGCCAATCGCTATTGCTTGATGTCAGGAAGCTTCGTACGCTGCGGTCGTCACATCAGTGACTTCGCCTACGTACATCGATTTACCTACGAGTTAGCCGTTTGGCCATATCAAATAGTGACGTACCGAGTCTGCGCCACTCGTTTTTCGCCTGTTGGCACGCGCGCGCAATGTGCCCATCGCATGCAAATGGTTGCTCGGACAAGCATCCAGATGCGTGGCATTGGGGGCAGAGGAGGGATGGTCTGCCTCGGGCGGCATGTGACAGGGGGCGGCATTTTTAGTACGGATGGTTGTTTACTACCAAGTGTAAATTCCTCAAAATTACTTCCATGATTGAAGTGATAAAAGAGAAGGATGACGATCAAAGTATGACCGAGGAGGAACTTGGTACTGCAAATGTTGAAATCCGGACAACCAGAAAGCGATAATGACAGCAGGGATGTAGCGGGAAATTTTTGTACTGCTGACGCAGAAGAGGCGTGATAAAGTGGAAGAATTGGAAATACAACCACATTTTCTTATGAGAACAATCATGTCAAGCAATTAGATGGATGTCCGCCAGTGGGCTGTTAAAATTTCTCATGAAATTCTTACTATACATGTCCGACTCGGATGTACTACCTTCCGCATATCTATCATGATTTTACTAATTGGTGCTATCTGGAACGAATGCAAACCAGAGGCTGAGAATCTCAAAAATAATTGGATATTTTCGGGGTTTGCGAAACGGTGAGCAAAGATTGCGACACCCATGGTGCATTCTCCTTCAAAAGAGGCCCTGTGTGGTTTCCGCTGCAGGATGTCTTCAACGGGATAGTCCAGTTTTCCGACTGATGGAAGCGAAATCCAAAAGCATGTGAACACGAACCTAGTAAATCGCGTGCTCAGTCATTCCGCAACCGCAAGGAGGTAGCGATCCGGCTAGTTGAAGGAATGGCATGTGACAAAATGGAGCAAGTGGTTGTAGAAAAACAGTGACGTGAAATTTCGCTAGAACACTTGATATTGTCAGGGTTCTCACCAAGCAAAGCATGACACTGTGTGTTCACCGAGAAGACATCCAAGATGACAAAGGAGGCAAAAATTTGACGGAATTTTTCAGCATGTGTACATTTGTCGGCCAAGTATGTGCCAGTTCTTCGTGAACATTTGGTGACAATTCCGTTGGGAAGGAAAATCAGCACCTTTTGTCGCACCACGTTCAAACTGAATTGCTGGCCATTTTGGTACACCCAGGTGAGAAAGTAAAGGTTAGATTAGGTCAATGAAAGCAATTATGTTTGGTAGGTTTTCGATAACACGCTCGATGTATCTCACAAAAATCACGTGAGTGAAAATGAAATGAGGGGAGAGGAGCCGTTTCTCAACTTCGTTGAGACCAACAGCAAAAGGGCAGAGGAAAGTTCTGCACTGGTTTTGCGAGGATCGGAGTAGGATGGAATTCACATTGACGAGTGTCGTTGTCAAACGTTTGATAATGACGTCGTTATGGCACGCTGATGAATGGGTGTCCAGAGGCGTATCTGTGACCTCTGCTCAAAGTATACATCTGTGTCACGCGCAAACCATTCCGTGTTTATGTAGCTTCCGCGAAGGTTCAATCTATCACATTGTTCGTACCATGGACCGGCTAGTATCATTCTTTGTTCATTTGAACATTACTTGAATGCCTTGGTCCAAGTCACCGATGTGAGTATCAGATGACTGTAAAATATAGATGGAGTAGTCGAGCAGGTGCTCTATATATTGTGGTGAAGAAATACTTGAAACTTCACTTCACTGACACATTTCACAGAATAAGGAGAAAATACAATCATAAGATCAGCCGCATCTTTACTTCTCATCTCGGTACAGTCGTTTCCGTTTATTCTGTATCTTAGAATGTAGGGATCTGCTCTCATAGAATTCAAAAATGCACAGGTATGTTTAAAGAAATGGACTGGATCTGCGAAGTTGTAACAATATTACAGCCTTAAGAGTTTGCCTACTTCAGACTAGAACGAAACTGGTGCACATTGCAACGGATGAAACCAAAAAACTACGCTGCTTTATAGGTATGCATGTGGCGTCGAATCGGACAAAAGAAACGAATGGGCGGTGAATACTTTTTGGATTTATCGATGAGATTTGATGCAGAGTTAAAACGGGAAATGTTGTCTCACATAGACATTTTGATTAATGAAACGCCATAGATTGCAGCAAATTCATGACCTTGCAAACACATTAGCTTTCCTTACACCGTTAAATCAGCTTGATAATAAGTATAGTTGTCCGTTTAATAAATTCAACGAAGACACGAAAAAATCGGAATCCTTGCCGAAAAAGAGAAAACTGTGGTATGTTGTGAAAGCTTCATTAAGAAGACAACATTGATGGGCCTTGTGGGCTTTTAAACCTCATACCGAAATGTCACTTGCAGTATCTGTTGCGTATATTTCTCACCGAACTTTTAGCATAGCTAGCTGTGAGAGCGCATTCTCAAAACTTAAGCTTATAACGAACTACCTACAATCGTCATGAAAACAGACTAGGCTCACGGAGTCACAGTTCTCAACATAGATAGCGAACTTCACTATGGAGAGTGTTATCAATGCTACTTCCTCAAGTAATGCGCGAAAAGTGTATTTCTAAATCTTGTTCACGAGTACGGTAACAACGAAAACTCGTGAATCTACGGAAGTACTGTATAATTGGGTCTTCGCTTGTTGTTGTATGAAACAAAGTATTTAAGTGCTGTCCGAAATTATGAGGGTCTACGGATTTAAAACCGCCAGAGGGGCGGCAATTGCACGTCCGTCCCGGGCAGCAAGACTAGTTACTACACCACTGCAAGCACCTGGTAACTTTAGGCGCAAGGACACTGGCTACCGGCTGTGTTGTGGAATGAGAAACAAATAGCAGTTTTTTTCACCAGCAGGATTTGTTAAATGGATAACATGGGGCATGCTCCTACCCCTTATCCTACAGTGTCTCAACCTCATCCAACCACGCATCCGCTGATCCAACGCTTCACTAATCGCACACGTGTCCTGCCATCCGTCATCGCGTTGGGGAGGAATTGCACTCGAGCATTTGCGGTCGGCACCCTTTCGCCCCCTCGGTGATTAGATTTCTCTCCATACCTAAATCCGACCTCCTATTGGCTGACGGCACATAACCAAAAAGAGAGCTACGCGGCAGCGAGCGCAAAAGCAACCACCGACGCATGGACGGGAGAACTTGTACGAGTGTTAGATGAAGTCGTAATTCCTACGGCTGAAGCTGAATGCCCTATGGCTTATAATAGCTGAGAAATGTTATAGTTTATCTCTGTCTCCACCTCGACATGTGCTTCTAAACGAGATGGTTGCAACTACGGACGCACTTCCGATCCCACTCCATCGTGGAACTCGCTGTTATTGCCTACCTATTACCCACACCGTAAACGTCTGCAGTGTGCAGCGATTGTCTGTTGCTTTCCGGCATTCGTAGATATTGGACAATTATGTATAATGAACGCGTCAGTCGATCGCCGGACGTTTGCATTGGCCACGAAGCTAGGCTTAGCGAGATATTAGCATTGCTTCTTTCGATTTCACACTGAGAGTGCATTTAGATTCCAAGTTTACATGTTTACTTTGGTTTATAACTAGCCTTTGCCAGTCCCTGCTTCCACGTCATCACGTGTGGGCTTCATGGGACATTCCCGTCACCTGGCCGGTAGCTCCATATCTTTCCATACATCTGTAGCAGCATCGTCTGGGCTGCCAACCAGCACATATACAGAACAATCCGGCTCGCTCCAGTACCAATCCCAACCGCAAGTCATCACACATCGTAGACCAAGCCGACGAGCTCGAGCTGTGACCGGGGTGACATTACGACTGACACCCTCAGCCACTGCATCCATCAGCGTACCAGATGCGCAAGACAGCACTGAGGTGCGATGGGTAGGGTGTGCAGCTTTGTTCAACTTCGGGTTTCTTGTAATTTTTGCTGTTGTTGTTGTTGTTGTTGTTGTTGTTGTTTTCTTCTGTTAAGGGCGGCGGAACTCATCAATTTCTGTTTGCCTCTGTTCTCACATTTCGACAGGATACCGCTCAAGTAAGTTAGCCACTCCTCCTTACTCACTTGTTTTCCCTTCCGTACACCTCTCACGAAGTCCTTTTAAGAAACCAAGATAACGCAAACCGGATACAGTGGACCACGTGAAATAACGAAATTATTTCATGTACGGCAAGATAGTCTGGCTTGCTGTACTGCAGACAAAGCGCCCACCAGATTGCCGCTATCCCAAATCACATGGAGGACAGGTGGTTCCACCTTACTGATTGTTATTCTTTTGTTATACTACCTTCCTTGCCATTCTTCCCCTGGGCCCATCTAATTGTTTGCTCGTCGTGTCTGATTAATGACTTGCATCTAGACCGCAACCCGTAATATCAACAGGAACCGTTGTTTAATTCAAAGCGAACGGCTGTCATCTAAGTCACTGATCATCGGTGTTAATCACAGCTACGATTGCAAACAGGACTAAAACTGACAATGGAATGCAAGTCTCCAAGAGAGGTGGTTATTCTTTCTTGCCTCACTGTCCGTCTTGCAAATATAAAACCAAGTGCTTCTGTATACGACGTGAGCATGAAAAGCAGGGAGGTGCGAGCCGGAGGTTATTCGGAATCCGTCAACGGCCGCAGAACTCACCTCTCTTCATACTATACTTTCAATTCTGCTGGCCGCCCACTGATTTTAGTTTTCTGCTGTCTCATTAAGTATTGCTGGATTGTGTTCCATTTCAACATCTTTCATTCTCGACAAGTTTTCCCCTTTGGTGGTACTGCACGCGGCTTGCATGTTTGCGATGCGTGGCTTTTCTCTTCTGGATCACAGAGACTTCAATCTCACCAAAGAACTATCTCGTTGATTGACCCAAGCCATTTGCTCAACCTGCTTTTTGTGTGAAGGTGTGCTGGTTCGCAGTACGTGCAGAACAGAGAAATGGGATGCACCTTTACTGATAGAAGACCTTGCTCTGGAGCACTATCCCGCTGTCTATGTCACCGTTGATCATTACACTAGAAGTTTGGGCGTCTCGAGTTTACTCGTACTAGTCTGGTGTTGGTAACCTTTATAAGCGCGAGTAACATTATTGACTGTTTGAAGCTGACCCAAATTGCTTACATGCTGTTCAATCCAGCTGATTTCGTTCAGTTTGAGCATTAACTGTATATGCGAAATCTATCGAAGCAACAGTAGGTTATGAAAATGAACTTCCGGCACATTTGCTGTAAAAGCTGTTCCTAAAATCTTACGAAATGTGACACGTAGTCCGGTACGGGATGGCCTAAACGGCTCCCGTCTGAATGTTTGTTTTTTCGGTAACAGGTGGTTTCCTCATGAAGCCTGTTTCATGTGCTTCTTTATGTAGACTTCCCAACGGTCCTCCATCTTGAATCCGCTGAAAAGCTATCCTCTGCTTCGGGGAAGTCAGTGCATACGCCTGACCAGAATACCTGGTACCGACTTATTGTTGGTGTGTTATGGTGATGGAGTGGTGGAATTCATAGCCATAACGGAAGATCAAGTGAGTTACACCTGTTTTACTCTCTTGAATCGATGATTCTGCGCTGGTTTGTTACAACAGTACAGTTTTATCGTGTGTCTGGAGAAAAAGCTCGATACAACCAGTTGTTGAACTTGTCACGAAGACACTATGTAACATTTGGATCCGTTGTAACATGGCAATAGTCTGTTGCATCGGGATGGATTGCAGCTTTCTGTACCCTTTCAACACACTCTCTCTCATTATAGACATGTAACCGTGTTCTCGTTCACCATCACTTCTGCAGTTATCACCAGTCACCAGCATTATGTTTATGCTGATTCTCTGGTTGCATTGGGCCCATCATTACTTACTTTGTATGTACTCAGGAACCCTAGACACATGCCCTATTACCAGGATGCCAGAAGCCGTTTAGATGACCAACAGTCAGGTTATTATAATCTTGGCTTGTCATATTTATGTTATATTTCACCCGTTGTAAGGCAACTGATATGTATGTTAGCTTACCAAACCTACGCGGCACCGCTTCAAATGGTGACCATGCCAGCCGAGGCGTTGTTCTTAAGCCACTATCCGTAGTGTAACAGGTGCTCAAGTGCCCTTTGCCCTTGTACAGTGGTAGCACAAGAGCATCCTTCAGCTCAGGAGGCACCTCCTCAATCCATACACGTTGCACCAAGTGGTGCAGCGCAGTCAACAACGCGGGCCCGCTGTGTTTCAATGCTTCAGGCAGGATCCCGTCGGCTCCGGCACACTTGCCGTTTCGCAGCTGAGTAAGTGCTCTCTGCGTCTCATCCAGAGTCGGCTTATCCGCCAGATCTGCCTTCACATCGTGCTGCTCCAGGCCGTTCAATGTAGGCCAGTCGATCTCTGAACGGTTGTTCAAGAGAGCCATGTGCTATACAAACGTGGTAACGTGATCTACGATATCCAGCTTGGGACGACAGTTTGGGTAAAACGTGCCAATCAGCTGCTAGAGGCGCGGAATGGGGAACAAGTGCAACAACAAGTACCAGCAACGCAGTTACCTCTGGACATCCTGGCCGACGCCGGTGAAGCGAAGACTCCCTAACATGCCCCAACACTGCAAGCACAAAATTCACCCCGAAACCTAGCGGCCGAAGCGGCGACGCAAATTCGTATCACCCATGCAAGTCAACCCTAAGCTGAAATCGTACAACACAACTCAAAGGGGAGAAGTGTTAGGAAGGAATACACGAGTCGAATTAGCCAGGACCCCATCGCCTCGGCCGGCTATCCAAACTCATCCGCCCTGATTGGGGCGAACAGAGAGCCAACCAGGAGAAGCGGCCAATGAACGCTAGGTTGAAGTTTCTCTATTGGCTGTAAGTTAACCTTTCCAGAGCTTTCCACGGTCGCTTTAAATATACTATTCACGGACTTTCCATTTTACCTTTATACTGAACGGTGTGATTTCCTAATTCATTCCTGTTGCTCTGCTCGTCCGATCCGGTCTTCTTTCTGTCCTGTGAGGGGCCAGCGAATTCGGGTTTGATTGGGAATCAAGTGTCCATCCAGGCGAGGGACGAACACTTCAGAAAGTGTCACCCTTTTGTAACGTCGGTGATGTAGTTTCCCTCGAGTTCGCGGAATCGGCTGAGCACATGCGTTAAACAAAGAAATATCCACCCTTTCCTTCTGAGCTTCCATGGACGCGATCCCGCAAACGGATTTCTCCTTCCGGTTTGCTTATTTTTCGCAAACTTGAGCCCTATCGTATGGCATACTTCTTGCTGTCCCTCGAGGGACAAAGTCTGGGTTATGTGAGCTTGAGCGGACGTAGAATGACCCATCCAGCGACTGCCCATAACATTACGGTGAAATTAGCACATGACCTTTCTGAACTTGGAAAGCCTCGTTTGCTCACATTTTAACTCCCAGCCAAAACAAGCTCCCTCCTTGGAAGAGGTATGTTTTCATGGGCAATGCACAAGGCTATAATGTAAACCGTTAGATTTGATTTAAGAATTTTCACAGCATGTTTGTCATAAATTTGTGAAGTAGACTGATCGCGTCCATAAAATTTCCTGATAGAATTGTAACACTGGGAGATCACGCGGATTCCCTGGAAGTATCCCACGTACACCCTGGGCATCTGCGGACCACCCTTTGAGAAACAGTACTATGGAGATTCTTATATTCATAAATTATGCCCATTCAGACATGAAGAGAACAAATGCGAAGAAATTTCTTTTCGATAAACATCGTCAGGCGCTACAATTATGAAGCAGATAAATAAAACTTGCATAAAGCTATTGCTAGCTATGTAGAAGGACAAGGACGTCAGATGATAGGGGAAACTGTTAAACTGGGAACCTATTATGTACAGCAATCAATGACAGATTCAAACGAGTCAGGACGGACCGGTGACCTTGAGGCCTGCTAACTGCGTGAGGACCAGTTCAGAATTAGCGCTTGCACGAGAACTAGCTGCTTGCATAATTCCGGCTGAAGGCGTCCGATAACAAGAGCTGCAGCTATAGTCAGGAAGCGCATTTTAAGTCCCTTTGAGCATCCCTATGAGGCAACTAGGAGAACCGTAAATGAGTATTTAACACGACATTGATGTCCGGTGTTGATCAGGTGCTCACAGATGCGATGACCGCAGCGCAATAACTCTTCTGACTGAAGAACAGTGTCGTTGCCTGACTGTGAAAATGCACACTGACAACTGCACATGGTCAATAATATGACAGTCTTAGTGCATGTGCCACGATTGAACTGGCTGCATTTCGAGTTGGAGGGACACTTACAGGGAAGAATATAATAGCACGGGCAATGAAAAGAGTGCTTGGCAAGTCTCGTATTTTGTTAGGATTCAAGCCACAAACACTAGTGCACAAATACAACGATGATCCGTTTATGTACTCTGAGAGGGAAGTATTATTGCAATACGTAGCTGGGAAGTGGGATCCACGGAAATGGTACAGGGAACCATCTTGCGATATTTAACCTATCATCGTGACATATGAGCTCAACTTTTCAACCTGGTAAGTATATGGCGTGAGAACGAAATTTCTCGATGCACTAAATCTGCTCGCCGCCCTCTGTGAGGAATCGTACGGTTAGGGAAGTTCATGCTTTGCTGATTGCTGTCTCTTCTCTAACAGACACATGTGTTACACAATGGAACCCGCTTCATTGCCCACGCCGTTCATAGCCCACCCCGATTTATTGACCAGTTTTTCAAAATATCAATTCTTTTATCATAAATATGTTACATTTTCACCGTCTAATTGCCCACTGCCTGGGTCGTCGCGCCGCTTAATTGCCCAGCGGCTTGAGCTGTGCTCTTGACGCTTTGTCGATTTCACGCCCTCGCTCCGAATATCTTTTATTACGATTACCCCACAGCTAGGTAGTCCGAACGATTCAAGAACAACAAAGCCATCGGCGGCGTTTTTGACAGATCAGAGAAGGCTACCTATGTCATTCAATACACGAGCAAGCTAAATGAACAAACGGCTGTGGGCAATCCCCCAGCCTTAATAAAACTCAAGAACTGAGCAAATTGGAGTAATTTTCCCGCTCCACACCTGTCCCTGCTCTATTGGTTGCACACAAGTATGGTCAGTAATAGCAATGATTTGTCCTTGACAAAAGCGTTGGATCGCGCTGTCATGATTCACGCGGACAATGTGTTTACAGTCGGATGCCCTGTGACACAAGCAAGCAATAGTATTCCTCTAAAGACTCTGCGTCGACCGTTATGCACGAAATCGGAGGGCAAGAAGACACTGCTCAACGTGGCGGTTGTAACAGAATGTCCCACTGCACAACAAACTGTATCGTACTCGTGACCATTTTCTTTCGGTGCACCGCCCATGGTGCTTGACTTGCGTTCTGAAACTTTGCGTTACATGGCAGTTAGTGCAACGTGCGTCACCGTGATCACAAGCCGTTTGAAATTAGTTGTTGCTTACGTACTGGACTGCTTGCTAGATAGCATGGACTTTGACGTGTATACAGTTAGGCACAGCCTATGTTTCGTACGGCATTCCGAGGTACGGGTATTGCGTTCGGCTCTAGCGCGGAACCATTTGAGGTATCCGTTACCTGGCTCCTGGTTCCCCAGGCTGTTTTCAATACTGACTTGTTTATATTTTGACGGATTTAAAGCTACGTGCCCCAGGATCACACTTTGTTTCAGGTAACCGGAAGGTGACTAAACCGCTGGAAAGGTTAGCATCTGCCATGTTCAGTCATTCGGACAGCGGAAGTCAACTTATGCTGCGTCATCAGTGATGTGAGCATGTCACGTGACCAACATCGAGTGGTTTGCAGCCCAACAATCTAGCCCCACTTACGGGCCATAACCTGCGGTGCTGATGCTAAGTATGTTGATGAAACCATTCCTCTCCTGTGCAGCCATACATATCTAGGTAGGCTAAGAATACTACCTAAGCGAGTACGCGCAATTCTCCACATATCTTCCGCTTGACACCGCTGCCCTCAGCTTTGTTAATAAACAGGTTCTAAGCGATAGCTACGCAATCCGGAACTGTTACCAATACTATACCGCGAAACCTTCCCCCGAATACCCTTATCGTATCATGCGCGCCGCATCAATCAAAAGGGATTTAGTGAGGCGCTCCTTTCCTCGTGCAAACGATTATCCTATACCCATAGTCCTCAAGCTTGCTACATCACTGCTCTGCAGAACGGCACACACCCCATTACTGATACCTCGGTGATGCATACGTAAACTGCTACGAAATCTACGACGAGAAATGAGCCAGCATTTCCGATGAACCACATCGCAGCTTATGTGTTATCAGTAAAGCATATCGCAATACGTATTTCACGGCACAAATACGGAAACCGGTACGCTGAACGACGTTGCGCACTTCTTTCTAAACCAGCGCCAGTGTGTTCCAAAATCGCGAACCTGCATATTGCAATTGGGGCATGTAGTATTCCACGCAACCACTCGGCGATGAACAAAGGAAAACACCATTTCTATGTATAAAATTATACGTTAATCAGATGCAAATTAGTTACAAGTCGGACATATGAATAGCAGGTCCGTAATTTCCTGTCACGTGCTGAACCATGTTCTCGCAGTGGCGCGGTGTCACACATGATCGTACCTCTGACACAACCTACTAGGAATCTGATGCGCCACTCGCTTTGGCTGAGAACACAATCAGGGTCCCCTCGGAGCATTTCCCCATACCTGCTCCTCATCGCTTGCTTGACATAGCTTTTGATTACACTCCAGATCCCATCGATAAGGTTCAGCGCAGGAGAGTATGGGAATAATCATAACATCCTCCCTGATCGGTACTGTTCTTCCTGGAACAACTTTTCCAAATCTGTGTGGCACGGCGCGTTGTCACAAATCATCCGCATCTAGCGCATCTAGCAACTGTCACAGCCACTGCGCAAACCTTTGTTTATTGTACCTTCCACGTAAGACGGAGAACGCTATCAATGCGTCCTTTGTCATGGCTCCGACAAGGTGCACATTTTACCCGCTACTGTTTGCCACAGTACACTGTGCTCGGCTCCCACGTGGTGAACGGCCCCGAGTTCTTGCGCAAAAGAGATTAAAGTTTGTCTCCTCGATCCACATCGGTTCCCTTCCCTCCGCTTGAAAATGTAATAGCTACAGGACGAACATTTTCCGTCGCTGTTTGTTCCCCTGCGTGTACAGGGATTCAGGAATTGTATGTAACTTTTTCATCGTTATCAATCGTCCGTCGAGGTATCTGACGACAGTACTGGTACAGACCTTAACGTCGAACTCAGGTTTCAAGCGCAAGTGGAGTTTTGCAAGGGCTATGGTGGGTTCCGCCGACACCCAATCAACCAGAGTCAACGTGGCTCTCTGTCATCGTTCTGCGACGAGCACCCCGGTGTTGACCTTCTGGTTCGGTCGACTCCAGCACTTTTATCCAATTGCGGCAAGTGTTCAATTTAACGTGAGGTAAATTGGCGATGTGCTTGCAGTCGTTTTCTTCTCCATACACTGTCATTATCCTGTTTATTACTTCGAACGAGTGGCGCACATACGAACTTCTTCGTGTCATTTGGTGTTGGCACAATGAGCTTTACAGGACGATCTGGGAAAATATGTCATCATGCCTATTTAAACCAAACAGCAAGTCCTCCATGCATTTGACGCCATTCGGTGTGGTGAATTCGCTTGTCTTGTTGCGAAATAATTTGTCCGATGATTGTGGCCGTGCCCGTGTCTGGTCACTTCGCCCACATGTCCGGCACTTACGTATTCTGCTTTGGGCATTTGTACCGATAGCGAGTGGGGCCTCAGTGGATGTCACCCGAACAACCGAAGTGTGAACAGTGTAGCACACAGCTCAGCCGCGTACTAGGCCTGTATTAGGGCTGTGGTTTGCTTACCTGAAGTGCCAGTCTGCGAATTCACGCCGAGTATCGTAGGGGAGTCACAACGTAGAAACATGGTGGTTTGCTATTGCCCTACCGCCCTGACAGCTGAGACGTATCCTCACCTTAACAAAGCGACCCGAATCAACTTGGCTATGCAGTGGTGAGCGAGTGCTACAGACGCATGTCGTGTATGGGACCTAGGGTGCTACTGAATCAGTGCTCCGATACACGGTGGTGTGACATTCCCGACTGCCTGAGGTGAGGTGTGCGATCGATAATTAGCCTCGATTCACACAGTCCAGCTGAGTGAAGCGTGATGGCAGACGTTAAAAGTGGCAAGCATGAGGCGACTGAACCACTCTTCCGTTCACAAAACAAAGATAAGCTGACCATGCTGACCGCCTCCATGATTATTTATCAGCTCGAGTGCGCCTGTGAAGCAACGTATATCGGTCTTGCAGCGCGGCTCTTGTCCAAATGCGTGAATGAAGACTGCCCACATTGGTTGCACTAATGTGGTCCTGGGGCCATTGACAGCTCCATTATGGCTCATATTGTCGATAGTGAGCACCAGGAGGATTCAAATCTGCCCTTAGAATAGTATACGAGGTTTGACATCACAGATAGAAAGGTATACGTCTTCCTACACTTGCGACGGCCAAAGCTACTTGCAATCGCTCATTGTGGGATTTCGTGCTGACAACACCAACACAAATTTCAGTGACGTTCAGAGAAGAGGACCAAACAATGTATTTGCGAAATTGAAATCTTCGATTAGCGAAACACTTCAAAGCACTTGTAGGAATCGGTTGCTTGTCACACATTGTCCATGACACATTGCAAACGCCAGGTGACTATCTTTCTATTGATCTTGAAACAGTTGTGGCGAAAATACATTCCTGTTTTCTATTTACACTGTTCGTGTTGAAGAACTAAATGTACTCTGTGACTCTGCAATGGTGGAATACCAACGCATTCTAGGATACGGGAAAACCAGATGGCTTTCATTAATGCCAGCGATGGAGAGGATCCAAACGGTAATTTCAGCGTTGGAATCCTATTTTTGTCTCGGCAGAAGTGTCCTACAGTGTGATCTTAATTCTCTGAAAATCCCTGCCCTGTGTTGTGGCCTTCTTTATACACAATAACTGCTATTTGCCACGCTACTGTACTACAGCGAAACTAACTATTTCAACGTTAGCAAGTTACATCAAAGTAAGCTTTATCCAACCGTATGGGTGCATTTCCAGCACATTTACACCAATAATGTTGATTATTAGACAACAAAGCATCATTGAGAAATAATACTTAAAAGCGGAAACGAAAATTGACATCTTCATTCGAGCATGCGGTCGCGAAAGCGGAGTTTCTCCCCTGTTGTGTCTATTAGCAAACGTGATAGGAAAGGCAGTATAGAGTTTCGATACGATAAGATACTAGAATATAAAAAGTTTAGATTTGTCCCCTTTGTCATTAGCTGAGATGACACTAAGCACCTGTTGCACTCTCCTTGGTCAGACCAGTTGCACGCATGATTCAGCGTTTTCACAATGGACGACACTGGCAAGTACACATGTACTCAGATGCATGAATACGGTCGTTCTACACTCATGTGACCGTGTGAGACATTTTGAGCTAGGCCAACATCTACTATTGGACAGGTGGCAATTTATGGCGCTCTCGGTACTTCATGGTAGAGTGCTAACCAAGCAGATATTTGGTTAACCACCTCTGCATGTGTTCCACAGCAATGTTGTCACTCTAATACTACTGTATTTTATGCTGCAGTACTCGATGATGGGGCGGGTGAGTAGCCTGAAAAGCTCAACTCTATCATGGGTTGTGTGGGTTTTGCTGGCATGTGCCACTTGGTATTGGGTCTGTTCCGAGAAATTGAAGGTAGATGAATAGCTGATTCCGAAATCACGCGTGACCAGTTGTATAGGCACATGTTCATTGTTTGGTGCGATAGATCCTTCAGGAATGGAACAGCCGTGTGACATGACACATGATTTCTTAGGTGAACGGTTCATCATACACGTATGACACCATGACTCAATGGAATATAAGTCATCTTGAATGAGCAATAGTGTTCCGTGAAGTAGGTCACGCCGAAGCTTATAGACGATGTTGATATTATCGGAGAAGAAAAATTGTCTACTGTGTTTTACAATATTGGTAATGTTATTGATGTAGAGCGGAAGCAGTGATGAACTGAGCGCCCTCGCTTGGCTTACTGCACTGGTGATGGGATGTGGAAAAGCTGGGTAGTCACCTAGAGTGATTACATGGTGGCAACTACTCAGCTATAATGATAACCAACCTAGTAGTTGGTCCAGGATCCCAAAGGCCACCAAATTATTAACAACCCATCGTTGACCAATCACTACCTTTTACTTAGTCAAATAGAAAGCTTATCAGTGTAATACAGATCATTTATGATATGGTTGTCCAATCTGAAGTTAGGCAAGATGAAAGCCCCTGTATCATCTCGACACTATCGTTGAAGTCCCACCAACACGATACTCCGGGAGGTGTTGTGCTAAATCGCATCCAACCTGCTAGCGGGTGATTGAACTACTACTCCGGCATTTAAGACACAATATAGTATGTCGATTTCAGATCTCACATACCTGAGAAAGCGCTCACAGCGAAAGATGTCCCCTCGGTGACCGTATTCATTAGAATTAGCAGTTAAACCTGTTGCCGTCCAGCATGCAGCGATCTGTTTGTGTCTTGATTTGCTACGTGATGTCCATCTGAGGTCTCCACTGCAACGACTGGCTAATACCACGATTTCCGAGGGGCATTTGAAGAAAAATAACCCAACAATTTTTCATATCAGAGGATTAGAAGAGAATGCAATAGCATGGAATTATAGGAAATCAAAGACAGATGATCTAAAACGAGCCTGAAGATCGGGCTCAGTTCCGAAAACCACAATCTTAATTACTGTATCCCACTTAGAACGCTGAAGGTGGTTAAAACAAGCGGTAAAGGATTGCCTGGTTAGGGAAACACTAGAAGACCAGGCGCATCATTTACCTTAGCCTTATCGCTTCAAAAAGTTAAGTAACAAAGTTTTTTAATTCTGCTCGTGAACATCGGAGATTTCACCCTAAATTGATCATAGAGAGCCATGAATTATCTCCACCATGACAGCTGAATCACGAATTATTTGGGGACCTCATATTTATTTCACTTGATCAGATTTGTCGTTTTGTAGGCCTCCTGCAACTGGAAAAATTCCCGATTCCCGTATCCTCACACAATAATGCAAATTAGATCACCATGGCAATGTGCACATTCAACCGTCAAGTAGTGTTCTCTACCAGTCTTTTCTCCACTTTTTCAGTTGAGTGTGAAGAAAAGTGTCCAGCTACATGAGAACGATCAAGTGGGCGCTGTGGGGGTTGAGTTTTGTGGCAACTTCAATTCATTGATCTCCTGTGGATTTGACGGTCTATTGATGCGGACAGAGATAGAGTAAGTACTTCAGCCTCCCGAGTCAATTTAGCAGCTTAGATTTCTTTACGAAAAACCCTCAATGCAATCCTCACCGTTTTTCCAATATCCTCCATGAGGAAACACGCAGAACTGTGTCAAATACGGTAAGGTGACAGTCTGAAGGCATAACTACCTTGTCTGCTTCTTTTGTTTGGACATTCAATATGGTATATAACTCATGGTTTCCCACCAAAACCATCTTAGTTCATTTAAGCACAGGACTCGGCCACCAGGTACCCTCACGGCAGCGTTGCACTACGATTACACATGGTGTTCCACATCAGCTGTTGATTTACCACCTTTACAGGACCGACTAGTTTAGCCGATATTTCGACACGGATGACGCACAATTGACTACTATTTACCATTCTAAGTGAAACTGTTGTATCTTTGTTATCTTACGATGATTGCCTGTGCTGTTGAATGACACACTACTACTGATTGCTTCTCCCGTGTTCTGAACGCGAGTAAATGCTTCTACCTGTTTGTGCTCCAACTGCAACAGTTATCATTGCATTCTGTAGTGGTTGCTAAACAAACCAAACTACCAACCAAAATTCTCAAACAGACGTTTGCTAGACTCCAACACAATGCGTTAGTTCTCGTGTAAACTAACATTCCCGAGTCCACGTCTGGCACAATAGAGGGAAAGTTGGTAGATGATCGCAATCACTAGAATTCCATTTGCGATATGCTTGGTATTCAGGTTGGACCCACTATGCTGATACGCCTAGCGCGTCACCCAACTTCAGTGCACTACGCTGAGCCTCGATTTCTTCCAGTAGCATCGAACTCAACAGAAAAGAGAGGTCGTGCTGCTCTCAGCTGTTAGTCTTCGCAACTCATCGAGAGATGTACGCATATTACCTGACCTTTCTTAGAAGGCACGGTCAAAGGAAAAAGAAAACCATGGCGTTCCTTCTACGAACGGAAGCAAGAATACCGTATTCGTTCATGACGTTCCGCTACTACTGAGCTCTCCTGATCATTAAGCGCAAAAACATGGCTGACAGCAGTGGTGCTACAACCGCGAAGCATTCTCTCTGGACGACGTTGTCGTTAAATCAATAACGAGAATTCCTTCATCATGAAACTACAATGGCTGTGGTCCAAAAGCTTGTAACTCATGGTACACTCCGGAGGAACGAAGAAGTCCTGTTGCATAGCTGGTTGAAGTTTCGCTTCAGGTTACCAACCGAGAGTTGGTCAGAAAGAGCAGGCGCACAGCCACGAGTGGTTAGCACTTCATTGGAACATGCAATCTCAGTAAAATCCTTGCTTTTACAGTTCTGTAGGGATAGACACAGTAGCACTTGCGACACCTGACAGGACAGAGAGACGCACGAAAGTACATCACACTGTGGAACGCTCTGTGCTGTCATGCCGCCTGCCCGAAATTCAAGAACCGACGACCCGTACAAAACCCGATTAGCGGACGACCGCCGATAGGTCGGCTTAAAACCAACCACGCATTTGACTTCCACCAACACACTTCTAACATCCAAAACACTATCTTGTTAGTATACTAACGTCCAATGCCTTCTTAGTAAGTTGGCCGAACTTAAAGAACACCAGACTTCCTAATTGCGGGATCTCATTACGAATACGGAGACCTGGTTAAGCCTTGAGATATCTGATTCTGAAGTCAGTTTACCTGATACCTTTCGTCAGGGCAGTGAGACGACGTAAGTTGCGATATGTCACCATTTTGGTTGTTCTCATCAGTCGCAAACACAATAAAAGCGGAATACATAGACGGTTATATACAGGGAAAAATTGGCACACCAATCAAAATGTCAAAATCAAGACCACGGTAACCTAATTGATTGTCTTAATAGTTTCTCTACACATAACACAGGTTGATAAGCCTTAATCAGCAAAGGCTCACTAATTGCCGAAATTATCGGAGCGTTGTTGCGTAATAACACATTGAACGCAGTTCACCTGATGTCGAGTTGCCGAGAAATGCTTGGTGATGATGCTGGGCTCCGGTTCCTCCTCGGATTCACTCCGTTTTGTTGCGTCATCAGCTGTTCCACCCATCTCGGCACATGTTCAGCTACCGTCTGAGCTAATTGACGGTCAGTCCTGCTTATGTTAATGTCATCGTAAACGCAGGTAAACTGGAAAACAACGTGAGAAGCCGAACTGACTGATAAGTTGCTCTGACGGTCATGAAGAACAAAGCTTCGCGTTGTATGTATTAGTCACAACTGGGCGGTCGCGTAGGTGCGCATAAGGGCGGACCGGAGTTTATGTTCGGTAGCATTTGATATATGATCTTTGAATGGCGAGAACAAATAAACATTCTTTTTCTCTGCAGTTAGCACCGGTATTTTCTCCTTGAGAGGCCTGTTGTGGATCTGAATGAACTTCTCAGGATATCCATTTGACACCAAGTTTCTGTACAAACGTTTTTCTTCAGCTTACAACATTTCGGCGCCGCATATCCGTCTGGCTCTGTAGAAGAGCGTTTTTACTAGGCCACGTTTGTATGCGACCGGGGCAAAACTGAAAAAGTGAAAGTACTGCTCGCTCCAACTAGCCTTACGATGAACCGTGCGCTGTAGTGTATCATCGATCCGTCTCTTAAAGAGTATACTCAAAATGGTAGACTATCGTGTTGCTCCAAGTCATGGGGCACCGATAGATTTGGATGAATTGAATTCAGAACTGTCAACAGCCGCGCAAAATGTTCGTTGTTGGTGAAGACTAGGATGTCATCTGCATACTGCTTGTACAATTTAGCTTCACCAATGCTGGCAGTAACTTATCTTTCTAGCAACCCGAGTAAGACGTCTGCTGCTACTGGTCCCACAAGAATACCCACGACGACGCCGTCGAGCTGTTTATAAGCAGTCCCCTGAAACGCGTTGAATACGCCATCCAACCATGGCAACCTTGGTTGAAGCGCGACTTAGAAGCGATAGAGAAACCACAGCGCAGGGACACAAAGAACATCAAGAGTCTACGAAATCTCTCCTACCAACAAAGACTGCAGTCACTGAGAGGTTTTGGTGTCCGTTACCAAAGGCTGCGCGGTGATCTCATATTAGTCTATTAAATACTGAGTGACCCTAATCACGTACGATGTCACTTGCTGAAACTCAGCCATAACATCAATCTCATAGGTAACCAACTGAAATTGTGTGCACCGGATAGACGTCTGGAATGCCGACGGAATTATCATTCGCTTGAGTTTGCCAGCCCTGGAACTCTATTCCAATCTTAGTTATTCCCCCCCCCTTCTTGGATATTTCAATGAGCATTGCACATCGCCTTTGACCCGCCTCACTTCGTTGCCTAAACTGTGCTACTATTACTTATACCTTCAAACCGGATTTATATAAAGCGCATAGATCTAAGGAGGCGGTACATGCGTGAGTATTCGTGTTTCTACTTTTCTCACTGGGTACCTCAGCTATACCTGCCCCCATTGGTCTTGTTGTTTGATGTAGTTCTCATTTTATACTGTTGTTATTCAGCGGCACAGCTACTCGAGAGATGCTCAAACCAACATCTCACATATCTTTTAATATTGCACTTTCATCCCTAACATCTTGCGGAACTTTTCAAGCAATTGTTTTTTACCCTTAATAAATCATTTTTCAAGCATTATTCATCCCTACACTAAGCTTATCCAAATGGCTCTTTGCTAAGCGGCGCATCTTGCAGTCTTTATAAGTTTTGCCTGTAAGATGTTGCAGTATGTTCATGTTTCAGACCTTAAAAGCCATGCATGCAGTGAAAACTGTTCCATTCGGTGGGGTTGATATTTTCTCCGTTGTCTCGGAATCTGTAAAACCTTCAAATCTCTGAGCGTCGGCACCCGAAGGGAATTGCTAATGTCGGATTGTACCAGCATTCCCCAACGGCGGTGAGTATCAGGTGACGATAACGAAGTTGGCACGCTAGTGCAACAAATATTATTGAACAAGTTTCGGTGCTTTGGGCACGTGCTACAAATGCTTGTGTGTCGCCTATTGAGAAGGGTCTTGTTTTGTTTACCGGATGTAGGGTGGACGCAAGCCTCGCGATGAACAAAAGTTGACTTAGCATCGGACAATGAGAGCACTGACGATTAAAGTGGGTGCTGTGGTTCCGCGTCGCTTTCCAGGCTGGAGCCCACGTGACTCACCTTCTGCTTGGTCCGGGAATTAATAATGTATGGCTCGCAATCGGCGCCACTGGCACTTTAGCTACCATTCAGTGTGTCGAATGCTGAGTTATCTGTGGAATGAAACTGCTTATGTCTGTCTCATCCATGGCACCTTATCTTCACACGAAAAGCAACTGTTTGTGAGCGTGTTGTCGGCACTAGGTGGAGGCCTGGAAACTAATTGTTTGATTAATCCATTTAAATTTTATACTAAGTCGCCTTTGCCCAGTACATCAGTACTCATCCCATAGGTCATCATGGTTAGATAACGGTTCAAAGTTTTGATGTATTTCTATCGTTGCTGTTGATGACGATAATGCTAAAGAAAACTATGCTGCTTTATGACGCGGAAAGAAAGGCATCACACCCATGAGGGCACAAACCTCTCGGGTTTCTTAGCCTGTGATTATTTAGCCCTTAATTGAGAACGTTACTGCTACAGTCTGTAGAAAGAATAATAGAAACGGATACGTAATGGAGGCCCCTATGCACCCACAAGTACCAATTCCAAGGTCAACTCTGATAGTTATTGAATGGTCTAGTCCCCGCTTCGAGGAGTTCCGCCAGGAGGATTAACCCAAGTATGAAGTTGGATTGCAACTTAATTGTCATCTTCATTAATCTGTGCGGATCATTTGAATTCTACTTCATTGTAACCCTGAGTAGAGCTCACTTCATGCTAGCATCTTGTTTCACCTACTGGTCACGTAGACGATTGATTTAGTATGGGATGGGTTATCCCACTGCCATTGTTCGCTTCCACTCAACGCTTTTAACTACACCTCACCGTTTTGAAACCCATCAGGTACGAATAATTGCTATTGCAGCTCAGTGGACCCCTTCGCAAAACACCTAATCTCATAGGTAACTCATAAGCCAACGGTGACACCACTAATCCATTCTCTATGGACACATGGCTCTAGTGGGACAGTAGTAGATGGCTCCCGCAGGTTAAGTTATAATTATGCACTTCTAGTACGAGTTTGTTGAACCTGATAAATGATCTGCACCCATGAACGCACATTCGGACGGTGGGTAACGGGATGCAACGGAGCAATGGATTATGGCGGGTAAAATAATCATAGACTTTACCTCTCCCGTATCTTGGCAATGGAAGTGGTAGGTCGCCACATAAACAGGGCGCGTGAGCACGGCCCTTAATCATTGGCTGAGGGACGGTTAAACGTTCGCTACTGCCAACACCTATAAGAGACAGTGTGGGTGAAAGCAAGTGAAAGACTTACTCGATCCCCTGAATTCACATAATTTTTCCCGTTGCCTAACGAAGTTCCCGTTGAATCCGCGGACACTGTTTCCCTTTTTCAGTATGGATTTCACTGACCATCCTGAATGGAAACTTTCTCTGCCAGCTGCTCTGCTTGAGACGGCTGAAACGGAAAGTAAAGAACTCAAGAAGTTGCCCACACACTTGGTAAACTGTGTAAATACTGGACAGAAGCGTACGAATGATCAGCCAATCAGTGCCCGTCAAGATGGTCAGCACAATAGCAACCGGCCTCTCTTCTTCCGTTCTAGTACCGCCATGACTGTGGCCGATCACTCTATTGGACTGCACGATTCCAGTGAATCAGATAGCGAGGCGTTGGAGGTAACGCCTATTTTGAGCGAGCCGAACCGAGCAACGTGGGTTGAAGATTGTGTAAAAGAAGCCCGGGCTCTAGAACATCAGGTATATGAGGAAGCACAGGAACAGTTGAGATCGGAATTAGCCGATATTCAAAATATGGTGAGTCCGATACCCTGGTATCCATAATAAAAACGCTCTGTTTAATCCGAGACATCATAAATTGCAGCTACATGCTTGCTTCTTCTACTGACCAGCAGAAGGCTAACGTAGATACATGTTGCACATCAAAAGGAGCATATATACATATGCATATATATGTATATGTGCATATGTATGTGTGGATTACTATACAACTCTGACCTCATTATATATTTTCATCCAGCTATTTCTCCGCCGGGGGACAACTGTGTGCTGTTGTTTTGGTCATAATGTCGGCCCGTGACCAAAAGAACAAGACGTCTGTCTTGCAACCCGGAGGTCGCGAGTTCGAGTCTGCGTAGAGGACCGAGAGATCCTCGCAGGATCTTTAGCTCGCGCGCGACTGGTGGTGGCTGCGTGGCAGCGACGTGTCGACACTGCATACCGGCGTACTCCTGATGCTTTTTGCTTTCTTTTGGTCGCAATGATGTGATCCACTCCAGTGGGTGGGTAGGTAGAACTCCCTTGCGGTCATCAGGGTGTGCTATGGCTCCTATTGCAGATAGCTGATGCCAACTGGCCTCACATGGTGTGTGTATAGCAGCGCTGTTGTTCGGATCCATGTTTTTAGTGGCACATTGCTCAGAGCTCAGTTATGAAAAAGTGATGCTTATGTTATTATAACGTTTATCTGTGTAAAATGAGCCGCAGTTGTAGTGAGCGAATTAGAGCTATAGTGCAGCCCGTTACGTGAAACTCACTGAGCAACGGCCTAGGTCTGAGCCCCGTGTTGCTCCCCGTTCACTATCTCAAAGGCACGAGATTGAGGTGCCCTGTGATGGATGACGCATTGGGATTGCGGATAAGAAGGAAGCCCCAAAAGCCCGTTCCTACTCCTTCATTTCGGTTAGTTATGCAGGACCCCTTACCACAATAGCTTATACAAACGGATATTAGGTTGACTCAGAGGGCATTGTCTCAAATAAAGTAATTAATCGTAGGGTCTGATGCAGCCGGGTAACAGGTTCGAAAAAATATTTCACACCACCATCCTACATCTGATCAATTTTGCGGTAGGTACGTGTTTTCAGTAACCACGTCCAAGCAGTCCTTACCAGAAGGTCCTATTTCCAAACTGAACATCTGAGATGCTGACAGTTCATATGTGATTCTCGCAAACCATATGATTTTGTTACATATAGTCAAGGTCATGGTGTTGCTCTAAGTCATGGCGAACCAAGTAGGCCTCACCGATAATTATTGGCCAATGCATCACATTAGCTGAATGAAAGCAATTGACCGGGGTCAACATTCACAGCCTTTCTCCTAAATTTACCTCAGATGCAAACCGTGAGTCGGGAAACTGAAGGATTTACATGCAGTGCTGGGGCAATCTGCCTCACCAAAATGCTATTCCAGTGACCGTCCGTAACAAAACTTCGCATTGATTATAAACAATTCCAGACCGACATTTGGTCAACAGAGGATCGTCGAAGCAGAATCAAATGAATCGAGGAAAGTCTGCGGACGTAATGCAACTGTTAATGTGGGCACAGCGGCACACTCTTCAACAGAAGAGTGCAACCGTAAGACAGCCCTCAAATCATTGCCCGTTCTCTGGAGTAGTTCCACAGTAGAACCATCCAACAGAGCAAATATGAGGAGCTCGGGACCGGCCGTATAGAATACGCCAGACGCTCAGACATTTCAACATCCCGCCAAATATGCGCACGCCGCAGCAATACTCGGCGATTTTGCTTGAGGGGGAATGGGATTATAAGCGCCGCCATAGTAGGCGGGCGCCTGTGCAATTCAGAGCACCGGTGGTGGCGTTGTAGGCTGAAGTCACATGAGCCACGCCAGTAACCCCGACGTCCACATAATCTCATAACTCAGGATTCAATGATGCAGGCGGGGTCTCCGAGGTGTCAGAGAGGAGTAGCACCTCCGGGGCTAGTCCCCCTATCTTTCGTCTCCATCTGTCACCCAGCTCTCAGCTGTGACTCCAAGAAACTGCTTGCACGCGGCAGCGGCCACACCCCGGTCAACTGTCAGGCAGTCGGGCTAAACGGAGTGAAGGTAGCCGGGAATACTATTCTCGGTGGATTCGTACCCGTATGCGACTTCAGGCCTGACAACTGGGCGGAAAAGATTGACCCCCTGATGTAAGGACTAGATTCCTGCTGCTTTGCAGGTAGCACTTGGTTGTGCAATGGCTAGTGGTGAACCCTCGAACAAAAGCCGGATGAGGTTGGGGTCCTCATACGTACCCATAATCCCCACAAAACCATGACATGTCCCTTACCCGCGATTCTTCTCATGCTACGGCGTTCCAGGTAGGCGACGCGCTCTGCGCTAACCCAGTGGCCAAAGTGACAAGTAAGCTACCCGGGTCCCTTAATCGCCGGAAGCCACTATTCAATGGATGCTGGAATGTCAGAACCCAGTTGGATGTCGGCAGCCTAGCGTTGACCATGCACACACTACATGACTGCCAGAGCGATATAACGTGTATGTCAGAATCTCATATACCCGGCTTTGGTTCTAGGTAAATCAAAGTCCCTGATATAGACACCTCATATTGGCTTTACCACAGTGGGGCAAGCATGGGGTCGCCATGGCTCTCAGTTGCCAGGAACACTACGCTCTCCTTCCATGAAAGCCAGTATCAGCAAGAATAGCAGTTGCACGCTTCCAAGGTCACCCGATGAATCTGACCATAGTCTCTGTCTACGCACCAACCGTACCCTCGGCGGAAATGGAAAAGACGAATTTTACGATACTCTACAGACAGTGGTGAACCACGTTCCAAAACGCGACGTCCTCATTTTTGCTGGGGACTGGAATGCATGAACCGGGCCTAGGAACGATCAAACCTGTCACTTACTCGGGAGTTACTTCCTTGGATAGCGATGTGATAATGGAGACCGCTTGCTCAGCTTCGTTGACCATAAGCGGTTGTGCGTAATCAGTACGCACTTCCAGCATTCAAGGAAGCATCTTCTTACGTGGTACTCCAACTGTGGTCGTACAACAAGCCAGATAGCTTACATCTTAATCTGATCCCAGTGGATGTCCTCAGTCAATGACCGTCAAGCGTACAGAGGGACTGAAACGGGCAATAAAGGTGGTCCGGACTACGTACTCCTGCGCCGCTTGACAACGCGTCGAAGGACCCTTCCACCATGTGAACCAAATACTGACTGCTGCCGATCCTTTGAGGCAGCAAGAGAAGCAGAAATTTCTGCCAGTGCACCACGCCTCGTACTTACAGAAGATTAATCTGTAGACGCTTATTGCTCTAGGCTAAAATCGTCGGTTCAACGCGTCGCTTTATCTACCCTGCGCTCTACCTATAAGCGTGTGCAGGACTGGATCACTGAAGCTACTATCCGCTTGTTCGCTAGAGCGAGAGAAGCACGTCTCACGAATTCCCTAGACTACTGTCGTTTGAGGCGTGAGGCAACGCTCTCAGCACGGATTGATCGCAACCGCTATTGGTCTGTTATCGCATGCAACATGGAAGGTGCATCTAATTCTGTTAGTTTGAGTCAGCTCTTTCGTCTCTTCCGTTTAGCTATCAGCAAGCGCTATTCACCATAGCCGACGTTGCGCAATTCGGAAGAACAAATCATCCCCGATACCGAAGGAATACTTTCCAGATGGGTGGAGTATTTTAGCAACCACCTAAACCGCCCACTACACAACACCGTACCCATATCAGTATTGATCCAGCCACGGTATGACGCGGATTGCTCACCGCCACCTCCCACAGAAATTGTAGACATCGTTCGTCACCTGAAGCCAAAGTCAGCTTAGGGAGCGGACGGGATTCCTGCGGAAATCTACAAATCTACCAGCTCTCCTTGACCATTTGTACGAGCTCTTCTGCTCGATATGAAAGACCGAAAGCTGTACTCCCTTGTGGAATACCTCAGTATTACTGAGATTTCCCAAGAAAGGTGACCGAACTGTGTGGAGTAATTATCGCGGGATATGCTTACTGGATGTGGCTGCCAAGACCGCACAAATCTTGCTTTCCTGCTTCGCCAATGAAAGGAACCGGCGAACTTGTCATAACCAAGGTGACTTTCGTCCAGGCAAAGGCTGTACTGACCAATTCTTCACTCGAACACCACTACCAATTCCAGCAGCCCACCTTTGTGTGCTTCTATGATTTTCGAGCTGCCTTTGACTCAGTTGACCGTGAAGGCCTCTGAAGAATCCTAATTACCGATGGCGTGCCAGATAGACTCGTTAACTTGATGAGATCATACTATCGTTGCACAAAGACCCGCATTCGAGTCTATGGAGAAGAAACAAAGGAATTTGACATCAATACTGGAGTCCGGCAGGGTTGCCCACTTTCTCCAGTGATGTTCAACTTTGCAGTCGACTGGGTTATGCATCATGCCCTTGAGGTCTATCGCAGTGTTCAACTTAGCTCTGACTTCTGTCTGTCAGATCTAGAATTTGCTGACGATATCGCTAACCTTGCGGAATATGCTATATCACTACAGTCACTGCTAAATCAGCTCGACCAATCAGCCTCTATGATCGGCCTCGAAATAAACATCAGCAAGATGAAGTACTTCTTACCGTTAGCCACCCAGTCCGCCCCAACGTTCTCCTTACATGGACAACTCATCGAATCTGTTCCTATGTTCAAGTATCTTGGATCCACTATACTCCCTAATGGTCAGGCTGCATCCGAAATCCGGAATCCTATTGACAGCACTAGAACAGTCTTCTTACAACAGAAACACATTGTGGGGAAGGAAGGAGATTAGTCTGAGAACGAAAATCCGAGTGTTCTCAGCAACCATTCATGCCATTTTGCTCTGTGGTTGCGAAACATGGACGCTGCGATCCGAAGACACCTGGAAGCTGGAGATTTTCGACCAGTGGTGTCTAAGGCTTATCTTGAAAGCGCAGTGGCATGAGCGTATCACCAATGACGATATCCGTAAGCGCTTTTATGGTTTTCCGAAGCTCTCAGCACTCATCCAGCCCCGCAGACT